AGAATTACCAGATTTTGATTTTACTTTATTTTTGTTTTTATGAAAAATCAGAGCCAACTATGAGGATATTCATTTAAAATTTTGATAGAACAGGTCCCAGGAGGTTAATGTGAAGAAGTGAAAAAGGTAAACAAAGTAGCCAAATGATGTTTGTGTTTGATCTCATTTGACTCTGTCAGCTGTTGAAAACAAGTGATCTAAACAATCACTGAAGAAATGGAACCAGCTCTGAGAGGAAGAGGAGGATCATCACAGGTTAAGGACAAAAAGCTAATCCCAGCTCATATGTCACGTTCATTTAATCAATAAAACATCTCTGATGCATTTTGACTCTTTGAACACACATGTGAGTGTATTGATTGAAGGTTGATGAGTGTATGTATAATACCTGCTCTGCAGAGGATGATGAAGAAGAGGCTGACGCAGAGAAAATATGAATCCATGTTGAGTTCTCCTGACAAACTCTGACAGTCTGACTGAACACAGTGCTAAAAACCAGAGGGCATGTCACATGATCTGCAGCATCATCTGTTGCCCGGAAGAAATCTGTGACAGGAAACCAGGAAATGAGCTTTAATTTATTCAGCTGGAAATGCTCTAACTCGAACAGACTTCCTCTGAAATACTGAAAAAGACCAAAATCTGATCATTTATTTAACTCATAAATAATGGAATGACTGACTTCAAACATATTATGAAGTCTAGATAAAAATAAAAAAATAAAACCTTTTTTCTTTCCTTTCGTGTGCGTCAGTCAGAGAGCGCCCAAACATCCCGCAGCTCAGTTTACACCCTCAGCACATTCTTTCACTTCTCATCTCACGTGTTCATGGTTCACATATTAAAGTGGTGGAGACAATACTCAGCATCTAACTTGCTCCAAACAAGTGTAGAGAGGGTAAACGTTTTTATGGCATGTAGTTTCAGATGAAACTTTTTAACAGATCAATAAATACACACACAGTGTTTATGCAGCTTCAGTTCGTCCTGTTGGCTAAAGGTACACTTACTTTATTTCCAGGGAGAGAAACTAATAATAATGTGATAAAGATGTAAGAAAGAGAGGACAGAGGAGGAAGAGCAGAGAAGATGATCAGCAAGCGGTTTCTTTTAGAAGGAAGTGACACAAGACTTTGAACAATATTAAGTGTGTCGCGGCCTGAAGGTGACTGAAAGAAGCCAGTAGTTTGGAGTCTGGAGGCTTCATTCTGAGCTCTAAGTGAAGTCAACAATAGGACTGTTCAGTATCTGACCGATCAGGGGGTCTTTGCAGCCTGACTGGTGGTTGTGGAAGCTGAGAACATCTTACACTACAGCCTGTGCAATCACATCTTATCAATATATGAAAATAAATGTTTGAGTTATTAACATCCACACTGGTAGCGACTCAGCTTTTAGTCTGTAAGCTAACATCGCCGACTTTGTTCCTTTTTGTTGTTGATCTTAATTTGCTTTTGTTCTGCATTTTTTCTAAAACACATCTCAGCATTAATGCCAACGCTGAGTACATCACAACATGCTAAGAAGAGGCAAAGACGGAATTTATAATACAAAATTAAAGAAAAATGTCCCCACTGTTTATTGTCACGCTGTTTGTTAATCAAAGTGGGATTTAAGGTTAACTTGTGTTGAATTCATCCTTTCTGTGGAAGTTTGCCTCAGAACGCCGTCACCATGTGGTTCGACTCAGTTTGAGTCTTTTCTTAAAATGTAATCAGGTTTCATTTCTTCAGGTTCCCGTGCAAGACCTTTGAAACAATTAATGGAAATAGTCTGATAAGGCCTGAGGTTTTTAGCCTTTCTTTTAACCTGATTTTTATTTGTTTTTCAGTTTTGCTGCTCCATAAAAAGAATGAATTTAATATC